AGAGAAAAGAGAGAGACATTTGCCACAGGTTTCTTTTAAAAGGACATCCTTTGAAACTAATAATGTCATTTTTCCCCTGTAAAGAAGAAAAAAACTAATCAAACATCTGAAAATTTATCAGCAAATTAAAAAAAATGCTTACAATTAAAAAGACATATCGAAAATCAAGGTTTTATAGCGTCCCCTTCCTTAAAATTAGAGTATAAATGAGCAATAGTTTGTTGTAAATTCTTGAAAATTACAGTATTTTTTTTTGTTCCCACACAAAGTGAGAGAGGACATTTATCAAATGAGAATAGTCAGCAGCATAAGAGCAGTTATATCTCCAATATCTACCAATAAAAGCTATTTACCATTGGCAGATTCTGAAACCAAGACAGGATTCCACAGAACATATAATTCTTCTATGGTAATTATGAACTATGTTAAGATAGTTTCCTTTTCTCTGTGTGAAATGTACATCCAGTTCCTAGAAAGAGAAGAAACCAATGCTTCCAATTTTGAATCCTCTATATATTGAAATTTATATGATTTAATTGACATAAAAGTTTACAATAATTTCAAATATTTTTTATAGTAGGAACCTCGCTCATATGGAATAGTGCCCAAATAAAGTTAAATCCTTGAACAATCTACTAAACTGAGAATAAATGCAACCATTAATACCATTAAAAAATGAGATAATTATTGTTTCAAACTTTATAATCAAGCAATCCAAATATTCCTCTAATTTAGGGGTGCCATCACATGACTTGTCACAATGTATTGCAACTTTTTTCGCCTTGCCAGAGCTGGGGTGGGTGCGGCTTCCACATGATGCATCCGGCCCATGGACCGGCAGTTTGACACCCCTGCTCTAATTCAAGCTGGAAGAATTTGGCTTTCCAAATGTTACTAAATTACAATTTCAAACATCCCTCACTATAGGCCATGTTGGCCAGAACAGTTGTGAATTACAGTTTGGCAACAATGGAAAGCTATACATTTCCAAGAATTAATCTAAAGTACTATATACTTCAGAGCTGGTTTTCTGAAAACAATTCTAGTTCTAAAAGAAGAATGAAACCGAGCAAGTGACAAAGATATGAACTGCATTTTGAAGACTGTAGACCTGTAATAAAAATCTAACTATTACAAAAAGGTACCAAAACAATTTCATCTCTTTGCATTTTAACCATATATATTTATCAGTTCAATTCAGCCGCAGTGGATAAAATTAACTCCACTATATTATTCCCAGAATGGCCAACCGAAAGCCCACTAGTAAGATATATGAAGACACTTTAGATCCAGAAATTCTGGACAATTATTGTCCTGTCTCTAGCCTTCCCTTTTTAGGGGATGTTGTTGGTAGAACATTGAATAACAATTAGAGAATTTTGGAAGAAGCAGATGATCTGGAATCATTTCAGTCAGATTTCAAGCCATGATTCAGTGTGAAGACAGCATTGGCTATGCTTGTTGATCATCTTTGGTGGAAGTGTAATGGAGGTGGTGCAACTGTTGTTATGCTCTTGATCTCTCAGCTGCTTTTAATATAATCACAGTATCCTTCTGGATTGGTTGCAGTGTTTTACATTGGTTTTTTTCCCTTCTTCATGGGCAATTCCATACAAATGGATTAGAAAATGTTTATAATACTTTATTTTTAAATTATTTGTAAAATTCAGGTAATCCTCAATTTATGACCAGAATTTACAACCCAGAATTGTGGTTGTAAGTCATGGCAGTCATCTGTCATGTGTCTGATTAACGAAACACTTAAAAGGACTTTCAGGCATATTTTTCCCTAAAAGCATTTATTAAGGTTACAGAGACGTCAGTACAGCATGGTGGAAATGCTTAGGTCTGGCTTCTCTTCCGTTATGCATATACATTCTAAGTATTTCCCACCCCCTTATTTTGGGGTCATGGTTCACATCTTCCAATCAACTTGGAAGATGTGATTTACTTCCGGTTTCTTTCTCCCTGGCTATCCTTATTCTCCTCCCTTTTTCCCTGTTGCCTGGTTTAACTATAAAAATACCAGACAGTTCTGCATATTGTCAAAGCAAGAATATACAGTATTTGCAGCATTAACATCATCATGTGACCATGTCAAATTTTATGATCTTTTTTGCAGTGGCCACTAAGCAAATGCAGGGGTCATTAATTAAACTCATTGTATCCAATGGGCATTTTTTGCCCCAAACTGGAAGTAAACATAAATGTGGGCCAGTTGCCAAGCATCAAAATGTAATTATGTATCTATGGGGATGGAGGATTGGGCATCAGACCTTTGAAATCAAATTGTAAGTAGCTCTGGGGAGGTCCATCATAACTTTAAACAGTCATTAAGCAACTGGTTGTAAGTTAAGGACCATACCAATATATCTGTAATTAAGAAAAATATTCATATATTACTGACCCAGCCTTAACTCCCCAAAATAATTTCTAAAGATGATACAATAGAAAGATGTCAATGTATTCAAAATACATTCATTTCCACAGAGTATAAGCGTACAGTATAATTTTAAAATGTAAGGACATTTAACATACTACTAAGCCTCAAAAGCTGTGGTAGGGTAGATATAATATTTATTAATATCTGTAAAGGGGGCTAAAAAAACAAAATATACACAATTATTTTCCTATGCCTAATACAATATTCAAAATGGATACAAAATCCCTATGCAGAAATTAGATATTCTAAAAAAACTGACTTTGAAAGAGTAAGACAGTCTTATGCAACTTATGCAACTAAGAAAGTGGTATGAAGCAGTATTTTTCCTCCGCCTATCTTGAGTGACTTTAGGTTTTGTTGAAAGAAAAGTCTTCTTCGGAGTCCAGTCCAAGCCAGGAGTAAACAAAATGGAGACTGTTTTAGAAAGAAGGTTGTAGTTTATTGAAGAACAAAACCACATGTAGCTGGGAGTGGTAGGTTTTTATACCTTCTGGGGCTTTTGTGTTTGGAGTTCCTGTTCCTGTGGCATGGACTTTGACCTGAGCTTTTGAGTGTGCCCTTTTTGGTATTGGTGGGTTAATCCTATTATGCCCTAGAGGTCATGTCTTTTAGAGTTTGGGTGGGGTATGTAGATTTTAGGGGTCTTTGTCTTCCTAATCTCATCAGCTTCTAGCTTCCTGGCTCCATCCTTTCTGAAAGGATTATCACATCTGCATTTCTACAGACCTGGTTTCTGCTTGGGGCAGAGAGAGAGGGAGTTGGTTTCTGGGGGCTGGTTTTGTCTTAGTTTTTTTTTTCCATTACCCTATTCCTTTTGGGAGATACAATATTCTGCTTTTTTATAATATTCCCCAAAATATTTCTTTCTCGGGGGGCTGTTGCTATCCTCCCACAGTTGAAAGTGACTTCAACATATCCAGCACAAAGGAAAAAGACAGTAAAATCTTTAATGTTTTTCCTCACAGCCAACTTTTGGAAGTAGATTTTCAGTGCTTTTACACTGAAAACCAAATAAACTTCATATTGTACTAAATCTGATTGCTTAAACCTAGTATATCGTGATTACATGACAAATGTGAAAGAATTTGTTTCTTAAGTGTGTAGCAACATAAAGTTGTTTTTTTCACCATGATGCGCTAACATTATACTGACATTTAGGAATCAGTTGTTGCCATTCTGCTATGTGAGAATACTTAAAAGAATATCATCAGAGATACCACTGAAGATAGAATGAATCCTATTCTTGCCACTAAAATGCTGTTTCTTGGAGTGTTTTCAGTGACATTATTCTCCAGAAAATGTGATATTTTGATGTCTAGTTTTTATAAGTTCATTTCTATGAAGTATATAGGGTTTTCATTTTGTAAGCTACCCAGAGCCTCTGAGCAGGCACTATTATGTATAAATAAATAACTAAATAACATTACTCAGCAATACATGTATGCCATTTTTCATTTCTTCACAAATTTATGTATTCTATTTTTACTTAACATAATGAAGAACGAGGATGCTTACTGGGAGCCTCTAAAAGCCAAACCAATTTGGAAGAGAAAATTATTTATAAAAAAAGAATTTGGCATATTTCTTCCTAGTAACTTCAGTTTGTCTCAGAAAGGATAGGGAGGGTAAACTTTAAAAGAAGAGGGAGTGAAGCCACTATTTCTGCAGTTAGGGTTGTAGTGGGTTGGCACAGACCTTCACAATCAGAGAAATGAGTCCCTTCCTTTGGTTCCCTAGGCTCCACTTTTTCTTTCATAAGCCAAGTATCAGATGCCAAGTAACAGAACAAGCAGCCTTCCCCATCTGTAACTTTCAGCCACTTGTTTTTCAGATGAGGGGCAATTCTTATTTATAGGGCAAAGCAGGAAAGCTTATTTTATTCAAAAGTTTTCTGTTCTTTTGGATTTACACAGACCAGATCTTACTGGGCCTGATTCTCACAAGACTAGCTCTCAATGAGCAGTTTCAGAAATACTTATATAGACTGAAGCTTTTAGAGAATGCAAATATGAAGTCAACCAATGGATTTCAAAAGAAAGCATAAGCAAGGATGCATGCCTCGAAACTCTTCATTATTTTTTTCCCATCAGAGCTGAAGCATAAACTACCCACCAATTCTCACTCCCTTTTAGCTCGTAACAGAATCTTCCTCTTTCCTATCTGATGAGCAGGGGAAAAGATTAACTTTTTTATTTACTACAGCATAGGGCCCAAAGTATTGTTACCACCCAAAAAAGATTTTGCACATGCGCCTTGCAAGCGTTCTGTTTCAAATGGGCAGAGCGAAGAGAGCGGCCTGCTTCTTTACGTAGATCGTACCAATATATCTATGTTGAGAAGGGGGACGAGTAGCCTACATTTTCTACTCTATTGGGTGCCCGTCTTTCCATCTCATTTTCTGTAGTGCCGTTAAATTAACGTGACCCTTTATACTGTGCACTGCGTGGTCAAACAATAACTTTTTAAATATAAACTACTATGTGAAACGAGGCCGAAACCTCCCCTCCTCTCTTCAATGGTACCTTCGGCTGACAGCGGTCACGTCTGGAAGAGGAGGCGGGGCCCCAGCTCCCTTACGCTGTCCCCGGCTCCGGCATCCGTGTTGTGGTGCTATCGCTTGCCTTCCCAGGTAGTTCGGCTTTGGTCCTGTGGAATCGAATCTAACCCCCCGGAGCCTCCTTCAGACGGCTTCATGGCGTATAGTCAGGGAGGCGGCAAGAAGAAAGTCTGTTACTACTATGACGGTGAGAGAAGGGCTGAGCGGGGCGAGGCTGCAAGGAAGGGGGTGTAATGTGCCCAAAGAGCTGCTTGTCCTTCTGTCTGTCCGCTTCAACCCCCTCTCCCCCCCCCACCAATTTTATCGTTGAAGGGTGTTCGTTGGTTGCGCTCCTCACGTCGCCCCTCCCATACCCTCTGTCCTCGCGCGCCTTCTTCTTTTTTTTTTTTTTTTCCCGGCGCACGCGCTGCAGGCAGCCCCTCCCCTTAATTTGTCTGGTACTGTTGCTTCTACCTATTGTGTCTGCAGAGCGTGCATTGGGATGGGACGCGGCTGCTGGTCTCACAAAAGGTGCTTTTTTTTTTCTTTCCCCCAAGAGGCGACTGGACTTGGTTGCCTCTTGAAAAAAAAGCATCTTTGGGACAACCATGACCTGGATTGACTTGAGAATCTCCATAGACAGCTGCTCGTCGCGTTTGTGATTTCTGCCCTCTCCTTTGGTTTTTTTTTTTTTAGTCTTTCATTCTTTCTTCAAATTTGCACCTCAACTTATAGCTGTTTTGTAAAGTCGGTGTGGAAACCCTTTTCCCCTTACCCTTCCCGTTTTGTCGTTGCGACTCACATATAACCATAACTCAGAAATAAACGCGTTCATTGCCATAAAGAAGAGGGAGTCAAAGCTATTTTCCAAAGCGCCTGGAGGCAGGACGAGAAGCAACGGGTGGAAACTAAGCAAGGAGAGAAGCAACCTAGAACTAAGGAGAAACTTCCTGACAGTTAAAACAATTAACCACTGGAACAACCTGCCTCCAGAAGCGGTGAATGCTCCAACACTGGAAGTTTTTAAGAAGACATTTCTGCCCCAAGTTTTAATTTCTTTCCATTGTGATTTGAACACAAGAAAACTAAAATAGTTTACACAATGTCAGCTTACAACAACTTATTCAAACAGATCAGTCACAACCTGTAGGATTTCATTTTGGCAATATTATCTCTACTTTTGGGGGGTCTGTCTAGTTTAATGAAAAAAAGGACTAGGGTGACATGACAGCAGTGTTCCAATATCTCAGGGGCTGCCACAAAGAAGAGGGAGTCAAGCTATTCTCCAAAGCACTTGAAGGCAGGAGAAGAAGCAATGGGTGGAAACTAACCAAGGAGAGAAGCAATCTGGAACTAAGGAGAAATTTCCTGACAGTTAGAACAATTAATAGGAGGAACAATTTGCCTCCAGAAGTGGTGAATGCTCCAACACTGGAAGTTTTTAAGAAGAGACTGGACAGCCATTTGTCCAAAATGCTATAGGGTTTCCTGCCTGAGCAGGGGGTTGGACTAGATGACCTTCAAGGTCCCTTCCAACTTTACTATTATTATTATTATTATTATTATTATTATTATTATTATTATTATTATTATTGGCTAGAGTTGCCAGGTGTCCACTATTTGAGTGGACAGTCCACTTTTTTCACATTATGTTCACTATTTTTTTTCACAAAATAGTGGACATTTTTTTTTATTCAAAAGCTTTATGATGAAATGGTACGTAATCTAAAGCTGTACAGTCTAAGAGAATAAGGATAGGAGAATCGCGTTTTGTCTTTTTTTTTTTTCATAAGTTTGAATGAAACTGTTCCAGTATTGTGCATCAATTCCGGTATCAAATGCAAACGTTGAACGAATGTTCAGCGTCATGGGAAATTTGTGGACTGACAAACGTAACCGACTGCTTGTACCATCGGTTCAAAGTGAAGTTTGTATATTTTTTAATATTTCTCGACGTTGTACTGAAATTAAAGAATTATTCCTTAAACACAAAGAATTGATCAAAGCTGCGCAGTCAAATAAAAAATACACACGACAGCAAAGTAAAATGTAATTTAATAGTTTACATATTATTATAATATATTTGATGTTTTGAATTTTAAGTAAAGTTTTGAAGTGATTATTTTAATACGTGTTAAAATGTTTGTAAGAAAATATATAATTTAATTGTAAAATCTTTTTTTACTACTTAACCCCCCCCCCCCCGCTTGTCCGCTATTTTTTGGAAGCAGACCTGGCAACCCTATTCATTGCAATGGGAATTGCTCTCCGTGGCGTATGGGACGGAGAGTCGAGGCTGTAAGGATCCGTAGAAATAAACTCATGTTAAAACGCGGAGCTCCAACGTTGTTCAGGGTTTTGTTTTCCTGATTCGTGCACTCCCCTCCCAACAGAATGCAAAATAGACATCACTGGCAGGGAGAATCGTTTGAATTACAGGATATTTTCCTGGTCATTAAACAACTATTTTTAATGTTGGGCAGTGAAAGATTGATACAAATTCTAAAAGTTTTCACATTGTTTTTTTTTTTGAAAAGGTAAAGATTTTAATTCCCATTAAAAGGAGAAATGTAAGATTGTGTCAAAAAGTACACGAGAAAGCATCAGACCAAGACCATTACAAGATAAAAACATTATGAAACTCAAAAATTAATGATGTACTTCAGATAGTTTTATGTACTACAAAAAAAAATCAAAAATATGCTTTTGGGGAATTAGAATATATAATGGGACTTTTGAGCTAATCAGTAGAAGATCAAATATTTTCATTTGAATTTTTCCAATATTGTTTTTTTTTCTGAGATGAATTGATCAAACGAAAAGAGTAGTAAAACTATCTGCTTGCAAAGATTCCAAGACTGAGCAAAAAGTGTATATTTTTATGAGGAAATTACTGAGAAATTGTCTGTTTAGAAAAATTGTTAAAATCATAATTGAAAACAAATATTCTCAAAGTAGAATGATTCTCACAATATGACTACAGTGATGTGAGATACATGTAGCTGCTTTTTGAACAATGAGAGGAGGGCACAAATTAAAGATAGGCTGTTCCTAATGATCATGCTGAAATGTTATCCTCCGGTCCTTGAATCTCCTGAAAAGTATTTTGCCATAAGCTGTGTTGTCTGACTATTGACTCCTATTCTGCCTCAGGAATCAAACTGACAAGTGTTGCTGTCCTTATACCTTCAAGAAAATCAAATGTAGATTATCTTAACTTCGTTTTTCCTCTTAGTTTTGGCTGCTAACTTGAAAAATACTCTCCTTAATGGATGGTGGGGCAGGCTTAAGTGAGCATAGGTATGTACTGGGGTGTAAGATTTAGCTATCTTTCATATTGCCTGAGTTATTGGCTCTTTGTCATTGTGACTGGTTAGTCTGGCTATCTGTGAACATGGCTCTTCTAAACGAATATTAAATATATGTTAAAAATAACCCAGACAACAGGTTGCAAGATTCACTGTTTCAATTTATACTCACTGTTACTCTTGCTCCTTGTCTCTTTGTGATGTTTATTGCTACTTGCTCATTCTGAATAATGCATTTTTCTGTCACTCAAAAGTGAGTAAGAGTAAATGTCTAATATTCTTTCAGAAATGCAGGTTAGCATACTGGTTCATAAAGGAGTCTATATAAAACTTTAAAATATCTTCAGACATCACCAACTAGAGGCAGTTGCCTCTCTACAGCCTATCATGTAGCCAAAGCCAAAATAGTTATGTAGCCAGTTGGTAGGAAGCATGCTTGCAGCAGTCTAAAAGGGCTAATAGGAGTTGAGCAGATCATAAGTCTTGACTGCATCAGCAATCACATTGTTAGTGAAGTATGATAAGTTACGTCCACAGTGAAAATTGCATCAGAAAAAGAAACATCCTCTACTTTAAAACTGATAGCTAAAAACGATTGGGCTAGAGATGAGATTTATGCAATGTCATGAGAACATATCATTTAAAAATATTCAGTGAACCATGTTCATGCCATGATTAAAGGGAAATGAGAATCAGCCCTATGCTATTCTTTAAAATAGAATAACAGAGTTGGAAGGGACCTTGGAGGTCATCTAGTCCAACCCCCTGCTCAGGCAGGAAACCCTATACAATTTCAGACAAATGGCTGTTCAGTCTCTTCTTAAAAACTTCCAGTATTGGAGCATTCACAACTTCCAGAGGCAAATTGTTCCTCCTATTAATTGTTCTAACTGTCAGGAAATTTCTCCTTAGTTCCAGATTGCTTCTCTTCTTGGTTAGTTTCCACCCATTGCTTCTTCTCCTGCTTTCAAGTGCTTTGACTCCCTCTTCTTTGTGGCAGCCCCTGAGATATTGGAACACTGCTGTCATGTCACCCTAGTCCTTCTTTTCATTAAACTAGACAGACCCCCCAAAAGTAGAGATAATATTGCCAAAATGAAATCCTACAGGCTGTGACTGATCTGTTTGAATAAGTTGTTGTAAGCTGACATTGTGTAAACTATTTTAGTTTTCTTGTGTTCAAATCACAATGGAAAGAAATTAAAACTTGGGGCAGAAATGTCTTGTATGTTTTATGAGTGAATAATTTTCCCAGAACCACAAATTGACAGGGATCATTTTTTTAAATTTTGAGGATAAAGTGTCAATATTGAAATTATTAATGTAGAAAAATAAAATGTCTTTCCTGTTTAGATCTTACTTGGGGGGGGGAGCTTAGATTAATGCAGAGGCTTCTGTGCTTTCTCAATTCACAGTGCCCTTAACATTTTAGTAATATTTTTATGATACACCATGGTATACAGTGGTTCCCAAACTGTGTACTGTGGTGCCTCAAGGAAGTTACATTTAAGTAGTAAAATATCCTATGGTGCCCCTATAAATTTGTTGAGGTAGCATTGTGTAGTTTAGGAACCACAGGATGGTTTATTAGTATTTTAACTAAGAAACTCAATCTAATGAGCAGTGTAGTATAATCTTGAACATATACTCACCATGTTCAAGAAGATATGGGATTGCTTTGAAGTCTGGAACCTCATTGATATCTACAAAAATATGGCAACCTACACAACAAGACCAGTAAATATTCTAAACAATGCCAGCAACTCTGGAGATTAGAAGGGATCAGTCTACATACCAATATCAAAAAGAGATTCAACCAATTACTATATGCTTTTTCTGTTATCATTTTAAAAGCATTTAAAACATTTTTTAAAAAGATCAGTAGCAAAGATTCCAACAGTAAAGAAATACAGGTAGTCCTCGATTTACAACAGTTCGTTTAGTGACCATTCAAAGTTACAACAGCACTGAAAAAGGTGACTTATGACCATTTTTCAGTTACAATCTTTGTAGGATCCCCATGGTCATGTGATCAAAATTCGGATGCATGGCAACTGACTCACATTTATGACGGTTGCAGTGTCCTGGGGTCATGTGTTCCCCTTTTGCGACCTTCTGAGAAACAAAGTCAATGGGGAAGCCAGATTCATTTAACAACTGTGTTCCTAACTTAACAACTGCAGAGATTCACTTAACAACTTTGGCAAGGAAAGTCGTAAAATGGAGCAAAATTCACTTAACAAATGTTTCATTTAACAACATAAATTCTGGGCTCAATTGTGGTCGTAAGTCGAGGACTACCTGTAGGTACTTGAACTTGCTATAGGAAAAATGAAAACCTTGGAAAAGATAATCAGAGGTTATGATATGTCTGTACTTACAAAGATCAGAATTGTACAGATAATTGTTTTCTCTGTGACACCACACAGAAGCAAAACTTGGAGTTTGAAGAAGCAGAATAGAAAGAGTATTGACACTTTTGAATTTTGGTATAACAAAATAACAGAGTTGAAAGGAACCTTGGAGGCCTTCTTATCCAACTCCTAGTATTGTCAAGAAAACAAACAAATTGTCATAGTTCAGTGGTGGCGAACCTATGGCACGGGTGCCAGAGGCGGCACTCAGAGCCCTCTCTGTGGGCACGCGTGCCGTCGCCCCAGTCCTAGGCCTTCAACTGGGTTTTATAAAACCTTTTCGCTTTAGGCCTCCGCCGCTGTGTGCAAAAAAAAAAAAAAAAGGTTCAATCAGTCAATTTCAACTTTTTGTGGGGGAAAAAAAGATCTTGCAAAGTTGGAATTGATTGATTGAACTTTTTAATCCCACCCAGTCTGCTGTTACCACCACAGCCACACCCAGCCAATGGGCCATACCCACCCGGCACTTGACAATGCATAAGTGGGTTTTGGGTTGCAGTTTGGGCACTCGGTCTCTAAAAGGTTCGCCATCACTGTCATAGTTGTTCCATCTGGAGTTCTTACTTGAGATACAAATGACTACAAATTATCATATTCTGAACTCACTGTGTTCATCTCTCGTGGGAAGTCCATAATGCTGGGAAAGGTGGAAGGAAAGAAAAGGTTAATCAGCAGCAAGGTAATAGGAGCTGATTGCAACAGTAGTGGTCGCGCCACTGGAAAACCTAAAGGCTGGGACTGAAAGACAATGTCCTGGAGAAAGTGTCGCTAAGAATCCATGCTAATTTGATGGCACATAATAAGAATTCTTGGAGAAATAGGGGAGCAGGAGTTAGAAAAAATACCTATTTTATATAAAAAATAACATTTTATGTTACATTTGACTCAGTATTATGGAAATGAGAATCAGAATAATAATAGACTTTTGGAGTCTGATTCATTGTAAATTTACCCCATTCTAACAGTAAAATTGTAATACATTGTTACACTTGTGATGTGGAATGGCACGCTAAGGTGTAAAAAGAAAGTTGATCTGGTTTTGGATTGTTAAAATTGCCTTCAATAATTTCTTAAAAATAATAAAACAGTTTTATTGTTGTCTTTATTTTTAAAATCACCATTTTGTTTAAAGAACTTAGAATGAATGGGTAAATATATTAGCTTCAATTCAAATAAATGCCTGATAAGCATTTAAAACTAAGAACTCCATCCAGATCACTGAGCAAAAATTTGCAAATACAATATAGCTAGTTCTTGACTTAGGACTATTCGTTTAATGACAGTGTGGTGTTTATGATGGCACTGAAAAAAATGACTTACAATCTGTCCTCAAAGTTACGACTGTTGCACCACTCCCTTGGTCAGGTCATTGCAGTCTTGATGCATGCAACCATTTGTGATCTTCCCAGCCATCTTCTGACAAGCAATATCAAAGGAGAAACCTGATTTGCTTAATGACTATGGTAAAAATGATTGTAAATGGCTCCTGTCACATGATGGCTCACTTACCAATACCACTGCAAAATGACTGAAATTCCAGTCTAGGATTGGTTGGAGGCTAGAGAAGATATGTTTCTCCCCCATATGCAGCATAAATATTCAGCTCTCTATCCTTTCTCTGACAGACTAATAAAAATATTTACAGGCTGGTTGCTTCCCCTCCAGAAGGAAAAATGCTAGAAAACACCAGTATACTGAAAGGCTCAGAACATTGACCTTCACTAGCTTTTTCACTAGATTTGAGGTCTCTTCTTCCAGTGTACAGCATGATTTTTCTCTCCCTGCATGGAGGGGAGGGAAAAATCCCTCAGTGTGTTAGAGAAACACACTTCAAATCTAGTGTCCCTTTTGCTTGCAACCTTCCCTGCTGGCTTCCCAGGTGAAAGGTTTGTTTTTCTGGGCAAGCCAGCAGAGAAGATTGCAGATATTCCCATGATCACAGGACACTTGGCAACCAGTTGTACATGTGAACAGGTTGCCAATCTCCCAAATTGCAGTCATTTGACTGGGGAGCAGCTCAGTGTTTTACGACACTTGAAAGTGCTTTCCAGGCCAAAAAGCACTTGTTCCGAAGCCATTGTGACTGCAAACACTTGTTAAATGACCAATTATAAATCTAGGACTACCTATATTGACTAGGAGTTAAGAATTAAAAGGATAATATATTTCATCAATTTATACTTTCATTTAATATACCTACTGTTTAACTGAAGAAACTAAATTCAGTTTACAGCTTTTGTTAAATATATCTGTTTTCAATATGAGATGAGAATAATATCACCAAGATTAATATTTGCCTTAGGTTCAAATAATATTTTGTACATTCATATCACACAGCCCATTACAGCTTTGCACTAGAGATTGAGAGTACTCCGTGGGCATTTTCAGAATGTAGAAGAAAGTATACGATTCTTTGAGAACGTCAAGAACATGTGGTGTACATTTTGTAGCTTTAGTCTGCATTAAGATGGTGACGGGAGCAAGTAGTAACATGACTTGTGCCATAATTCTGTTTCAAACACTGTTAAGCCATCAATTATTGGTAGCTATCACCGTTTCTCCCAGTGTCCAGAATATGCAAATAAGTTGCAGTGTTTGCAATCCTGCATAAAATTCTGAAGGGTTCCAAACCCCAATGGGTTTTTGGTTTAGTTTATTTTAACGAATGTTCTCCTAACAAAATGATATTCAAGAGATGACTGGTGAATGTATCATCAAACTTAAAGCTAGAAAAAAGTAATAAATAAATGTTTGTTTGTTTTTTGTTCTAGGTGATATTGGAAACTATTATTATGGCCAGGGACACCCAATGAAGCCTCACAGAATCCGTATGACACACAATTTATTGTTAAATTATGGCTTGTACAGAAAAATGGAAATCTATGTAAGTATATGCATTTATTACTATCACTTAAAACTCAGTGATCAGTGAAAAGAATATACCCTACAAATAATAGGATGTACATCTTGAAATTTTAAACTCCAGGCAGATGTCCTGCCACAATGCTTCAGGTGAGCATTATAGGTAAAGTCCATCTCAGCTACCCTGCACCCTCTCTGACAGGGAAAGAAAAGAGGCACCCAAGATTGTTGGAACTGTGCTTGTAGAAGTTGTGCTATGTAGCAGCACACATTCTGGAGAGAGAGAGAGAAACGTTTACTGAGGACGGGCTCCAGCATGAGTCCAAAAGCTTGGAAGACTAAACGTCTGGTCCAGATGACCCGACTCAGATTGGATCCTACAACATTATCCTGGCATGGACATGCATAGTTGCCTGCGTTCGTGTAGAGATTCATTTAAAAGGCCCTCAAGAGCAGCTATACTTGGACATTTTATACTTTTCTTGATGGGGGCAGGAGAGATGAAGGTGTTCCACATTGAATGAGTCAAAATGGGGTTGGAAAAAGAACTCCCAGTATCACCTTGAAAAGGTAAAGGCATCCCATGCAAGGCAGAGATAATTGTTGGTTATACACTTCAGGGAATGATTTTCTTTCTGCTGGAGAAAATAAAATGATTTTTTTTTCTATGGACTTCCTGGCCTTGTTCTCTAAAACTTGGTTTTAATTATTTGATATATACTTGATACAATATATGTTTTCTTTTATGATCAAAAATATTTTGTATTTAATCTATACTTATTTCCTACTGTATTATAAAATACAGGTAGTCCTCGACTTATAACAGTTTGTTTAATGACCGTCCAAAGTTACAACAGCACTGAAAAAAGTGACTTATGACCATTTTTACAGTTACAGCCATTCCAGCAACACCATGATCATGTGTTCAAAATTCAGATGCTCAGCAACTGATTCATATTTATGACAGTTGCAATATCCCAAGGTCATGTGATCACCTTTTGCAGCCCTCTGACAAGCAAAGTCAATGGGGAAGGCAGTTTCACTTAACAACCAGATTACTAACTGATCGACTGCAGTGATTCACTTAACAACTGAGGCAAGAAAGGTCATAATATGGGGCAAAACTCACTTAACAAATGTCCCTCTTAACAACAGAAATTTTGGGCTCAATTGTGGTTGTAAGTCGAGGACTACCTGTATATGATATACAGCAACTATTGTACTTATGTGGCAAGCCCAAAATTGAAATTATTAATCTACAGTTTAGTGTCTCTGATGAAATATGTCTTTACTTAAAATACTGCTAGCTCTTTTCCTGTAGTACAGCCATGTCAATCTTGTTGCTTATTAGCGCCCCCACAAAGCTACGGCAGAAGAAATGACTAAATACCACAGCGATGAATACATCAAATTTCTTCGTTCAATAAGACCTGACAATATGTCTGAATACAGCAAACAAATGCAGAGATGTAAGTCTCCCATTGATTTTAAATAAAAAATACCATAAGAAATGTTATGGCTTGCGTGCAAAGAAAATCTAAGCATCACTTCTAAAGCAGTTAATTTTTCTTCAGTATTACCTTATTGAATATTACCTTATTTAAGGAAGAAATTTACAAAATATTATTTTATTACTTATTGAATTTTGGTGTGATCGTTAGCATTTTCAATAGTTTATTTCTTTAATTGCCTGTTATATGGAGAATAGTCAAAACTTTATTCAAACAAAATGCTCCTCAATTACCATACTGTAGTTTAAGGACTGAAATTTATTCAATTGTTCCTTTCTGTTGGGATTCACAGCTTTTTCTCCGGTTAAAATGAGCTTTGAAGTAGTAGTAAACTTCTCTTGGAATAACCATATTGCTTCTAATCACAGTTAACGTAGCAGAGGCAGAAAGCAACTATCTCTTTTAATCATATAGTTATTTCCCTAACACCAGTATGAACAGGAAAGGATATAATAAATAAAGGGCAACAGTATGGGATTTGGCAGCATTATTTTTGAATCTTTTTTAATGACAAAGTTTCAAATGCATGAAACTAAACTCATTTAAAATTAAGATTTCACTTCTACAGTTTAGGATTATTATATGCATTAGAGGAGGAAAGCTGCAGTTCTTTAAATTTCTGACTGAATATTTTATTAAGTTCGTTAGAGCAAGATAACCAACAGGTGCAGCATCTATGGTAGTGAAGTAAAATTGTGAAACAAAATTAACTTCTAAAGTAAATGGATACCAGTAATGTGGAATATTAATGTTTTTTTGTTTCTTAATGTCAAAAATTATTAGCATAACAAACCTAAAAATATGTACATGTACCTTGAAACAGAACTTTAGATGATTAATGAAAGTTTCCTTTATTAGTTAATGTTGGGGAAGATTGTCCTGTGTTTGATGGACTATTTGAGTTCTGTCAACTGTCAACAGGAGGCTCTGTAGGTAAGTTGATTCTCCTTAGTTCTTTCTCTTACTTACTGATTTTTCAAATTTTTGTCAATTAAGTAGCACTAACAATGTTACTTTAGGTATCTTTTCATGTTCTATGTTCGGTAGATTTTTTTAATCTTCATTATTTATGTATTTTATTGATAGCTTTATAGACAAAAAAAATTCACCCCCTTTAGTTTTACTTGGTTGCTTGTTTAGTTTGCGATTTTTGTAGTGCTAAGCTACTAAAGTATCTTATTTCTTTTGCCTTCTGTAGGGAATTACATTGCTGAAGTTTGGCAATTTGGCCAACATTTTATAGCGGCACAATGTTGCAAAACTTTGAGGTCCATTAAATTAAACTTGAGTATCACTTTTAGTCCATGTGTTCACTTCTATTCACAGTAAGGTATTTTCACACTAAACTTTTGGCAAAACGTATAGGATAGGTAATGGAATGGTGCTTTTATTGCTAGGTGGGAGAAAATTAATAGAAATGGAAAATAAAGACAATAGATTAAATAAAAAGCACTAAAAGTGACATACTAAGTTTATTACAGGAGTCCTTGTTTATATCCATTTTTTTCAGTAACTGTTTGAAGTTATAATGGTGCTGAAAAACTGGACTTAAGTCCACTCCTCAAACTTACAACCATCGCAGTGCAGTCTTGGTCACTTGATAAAAATTCAGGCATGTCCACATTTATGACTAGCATTCTCAGCTGACCTTTCTCCCTGTTAGTGTGATTGGCATGTTCTTCCTGTGTGGCAAAGGGATTTCATGGGGTGGGTGGCTGGCTATGTGCTGGGGCAGCTGTCCTCATTGTATCAATGGGACTTCACGCAATGGCAATGGGGCTTGAGGTAGCACTCTTTAGTAGAAATAGAGGCTCAGAGGCAGTAGCAGCAGGCTGCGGCTGCTCCAGTATCATGTTTCTGAACAGTAACACTGCAGGACAGCCAAAAGGGCAGAGATGGGGGGGGGGAGAGATTGACAGGTGGTGGGGACTTGAAGAGGATTGGAAGAAACAAGGCTCCAGACTGAATGAAACCAAATTGGGAATGGTTTGGATCAAGTTGGATCCTTGCCTAACAGCCTGTGTGGGATTCACTAAACTATCATTTCTAAGTGGGGCAGTCAAGTGATGCCTCATTTCTGACCTCATTGCTTAACAATGGAGTTACTGGCCTCAATTGTGGTTGTTGAACCACAATCTGTATATGGTTTGCAGCACAGCAGCAGAAGTGCTTAAAAAAACCTGTTGAAATTCAAACCAGAACAGAAATGTGTTAAGTGAAACTCTTATTTTTCTTGCTAGGTACTATGAATTGTCTTTTTAATTTCTGCAAAATATTTTAACCGCATTTTCTCATAATATTTTTTTAGCTGGAGCAGTAAAATTGAATAGACAACAAACAGATATGGCTGTTAATTGGGCAGGAGGACTTCATCATGCTAAGAAATCAGAAGCATCTGGTTTCTGTTATGTCAATGATATTGTGCTTGCCATTCTTGAGTTATTGAAGTAAGTTCATGGTACAGTTATATACATAACTTACCCAAAAATAAGTTGAAAATATGAGTGCTGCATTAAAAGTAAGCATGTTGAGCAAAGAAATAGCAGAGTTAGGAAAGGGGGTTTTGGTAGTTTGAGTGTCAAAGCAATAACATCCTATATTAACAGCGTTGACATTCTTTCTAAATTAATTTTTAAATACTATGCTTTGCTCCAAAACTATCCTGACTGTAATCTTATAATTAGTGAAACAGAAAGAAGAGTTATAAGAAGCATTTATCTCCCATCATGTGATAACTGTAGTATTTCACAGTAGATGATTCTTATTAATGCCTTTGTTGTCATGAATGTCTATTATGGGTTAGTCTAATTTATTATAATAGCTCTATTATAATTTTAATATTTTAATAGTTAAATTTGGTTTCAGATATTTCTTGATTGTCTGCAAAGTCACTGTATCTGTATACTTGGTGTTATCATTTTCAATAATTTGTTGATGAATTCATTTCACAAAAATTGGCTAAGTTTATTTGTCTCATATAAAAAAGCAAAATTAAGTTATTGTAAGATTAAACTATTAGTTAATTCAAAATAGCTATTTTTCTTGTTTTGGGTTAGTAAATATAAGTAGAGAAAGTCCATCTTCTTAAATCTAAGATTATGAATATTATCATAAGAAGTGGAAGGTACATGTTATCCATTAAACTATCAGCCTATACTTAAACTCTTACCAAACTCACATATGGTCATAAACACAGATGTGTAGGTGTATATTTAAACAGTACTTTTTCAGGATCTTAAAATATGAGTGCCATATCAAGAGGAAATTACCCATCACCAGAAATTGAAGCTTAAATTGTTTCTGTGTAAATGTAGATATGCACATTTATTTTCTCTTCCAAAGGATAGAAAGTTTATTTAGTATTACATAATTAGAATGTCAACAGCTTCACATTAAAGCAGTGGCTTTTTTGGGAAGCATCATAGCAACAGGGCTAAATTTTAAAGTCAAATAAACAAAAAATATAACTAGGAAAATTGAGATTCATGGAAGACCTAATTGCAGCAAGCAGATTGAAGATAAAGAAGAGAGAAAGAAATTACAAAAGGAAGTAAAAAAGCAAAAAGGTCAAGAAATGGGATATACAGCGGCTTAATATACCTTACCTTATTTTCTCTATCACTCTTACAACCTTCTGCAAAATTCATGCCTTTGAAAATCGGTGTTTTGCTGCCAAATATGTTGGTGGTGTGATTAGGAGGAAAAAGAGTGGTGTGTCTGCAAAAAAAATATGGGACTACCTAATTTAGATTCATTAATTTTAAAAATAAATATTTGGAGAATATTTAAAAGTTGTATGGCTTGGGAAAATGATACAAGGAGGGTCAACAATTCTGGTAAGATTTATCATAGCTACATTCAGAAATAACATGGATATACCTTTCTGTCATATGTAGTATTTTTGTCTATGCAGAATTCAAGAAAGTAGTGTCTACTTTTAAGAATAAGAAAAAAATCAAATAGTGAATTGATGTTAGAATGTAATGCTACATTTTGAATTATACACAAACCCACAAACACACACTATAGAATCTTGTGAAAGGAGAATTTTTTTATCCAGTGCCCCCCCCCCCCAAGCTTGATAGGAGAATTTGCCAAACCTGGGCTTCCATAGTTTTGCTAGATACCTTTTTATTTTACTAATATATATAGAAAATAACCAGCAATAGTAACATAATAAGGAAAACAAAAAATAAAAATAGACTTTATTGCAGTCATTGACCAATGTTCCATTAAAAGTAAAATAAAATACAATGTAAAATATTTTTTCAAAAAAATAAAATAACTTACATTGTCAGCATGATTCTGTCTAAATAAATTTTAGAAATAATAAAATAGAACTTGGCCACATTCAAATTCAGTCACATCAGTCAGTTAACAGCAGCTGTATGAAGAATGTTTTGAATGTCCTGAAAAATTAGTTATAAAGAAAATTACAAAAGATAGCTGTGGGGATTTATAAAATGGACAGCAGCAAACATTGGTCATATTTTCAATTGCCTTTTATCACAAGTATAGAGTTCTTATTTATATTTCCTGAATTTTCCCTCAAAAGCAGCCATTGAAAATGTATCAAAATGGGTTAGGTTGATACTGTTCTGAAATTGGTTATGATTATTTGTTTTAAATATTTTGCTGGCCATAAAAAGGGGGAGTCAGAAACATATCTCTAAGGCAGACAGATTGAATTGCCGTTTTCTGTACATAACATTTTATTTAAGGCTTGATAAGCCTGCTTGTAAAAGTGCTTTGTGAAAAGCAATTTCTAATAAAGCAATCTTCTCCAAATCAATTGAAAACTATTAATATGAGAAGTCCTACACTCAAAGTAAGAAGTAGTAGCTGTAACCGATTTAAAACAGTAAGTGACCTTGCATTGCTCTCCACTTAAATCATGCCAGTCTCACAGGGAAAATATATCTAAACTATAGTTTTTAATTTGTACTACAACTTAAAATGTGGAAATAAAATGAAACACACGCTTAATATCAATAAAAGCAGTATATAGTGCTAATTTTGACTTGATATATTTTTCAACTTAATGCTATAACCTCTAAAACTTGCCTATTTTTCATCCAGCATATGTTCTGTATTGGTCCAGTTTGAGAGTTGATTTTATAGATACTTGGCATAAAGCTTGCTAATTATATTTAAGAGATTGCTATGCCAATAATTAGTGGGCAACCCTGATTTCCTATAAATTAAGCCTGTTATTTTGAGTTACTACAAAGGATGAAAAAATAAATCATTACCTGAAACAAGATACTTTCCTCCATGATGATGGTTAGTGGTTGTAAATTGGTAACAAATATTATTGCAGATGACCTGAAGCCCTTTATTCTTTTTTTTTCTAAAGAGAAAAGGCCTCTTTCACAAGGACTGCCAAAAATTGATAGCACAGCTTCCTTCAGCTTTGAAGTGCAAATATAAAACTGTATAATATAAACCTAAAATAGGCATATCACAGTTAAACTAAGACCCTTAGATAATTATATATTTGCAACCTTAACATACTATTGTCAATATAGTTAAGCATTGTGAACTCCCTTTTCTATACTAAATATGCATATAATATTGCATATGCAGTACTGCATTCTATACCATCATCTAGGCTAATATTGGGAAATGTTCTAATATTGGAATTGCATGAAGGATAAATATGATTGTATTATGGAACTTAAATCTGCATATTAGAGATAAAGCTATTTTAAATAATTGATTTAATCTGGGATGGAAAACAAAATCAAGGATTTTTCTAACTACATTTTCCTTTGAAGAAGAGTAGTGAGATTTTTTTCTATTGCTTTACTATTTTTTTTCTTTTATGCCCAGATATCATCAAAGAGTTCTTTATATTGATATTGATATCCATCATGGTGATGGTGTTGAAGAAGCTTTTTATACCACAGATCGAGTTATGACGGTATCATTCCATAAATATGGTGAATATTTCCCGGGAACAGGAGATTTAAGGGTGAGTTCAGTTATAAGCTTATTTAAGATAAGATTTTAGAAATGCTTTTCTTAAGCCTCATTCTCAAGTTAAATTAATTTTACTTTCTGTCCCTGTTTTCCATCAAGTTCATTTAAAATTGAGTAGGATTTACATTAATATGATATCAGTCTGCATTAGTGTAAGTCCAGATGATTATTTTTATACATTTCTGAGAGAGGTACTATACTGTAATGTTTTGAAAGTAATTGCATCATTAGATGTGGCATTGGAGGGTACTAACGTTTTAAATAAAAGTAATTTTAGCAGTGATTACAAAGTTCTTCCAACCTAATATCTGGACTCCATTTTCACTTGCAAGATAAATATCCAGAAAACCTCAAAATGGCTGGTCAAAACTAATAGACACCAAGATGCCATTAACATTTTTCAGTAATTATAATTGAACTATAGAAACAGTCATTGCTTCATTTACAAGGATTAGTATGACGGCATACTGTACATAATATTTAGCATTAAAATAATATGCCTATATTTTGTTCCTATAAAACATGAATCAATACACTCACTGTGTTGTATAATGGATAACATTGGAGATAATGCTACATTGCGCAACAGTCATTATTATAAAGGAACTATAGAAATTTGAGTTTATAGACAAGGCAGTATATAGAAAAAAAACAAAGGTCTATTATTAATTCAGATAACCCAGTCAAATCACAATTTAATTCATAATTATTTAAGAAAGTATCCATGGCAAATGTTACTGTATCACTAGAAGCCATTAGACACATTTGAGTCTAGGCCAATGCTTGGATATTATTTTTATTTAGAATCATGCACTGAAAAATTGAATGCCTCCTTTAGAAGTATACTGCTTAAAAAAAAAACTTTAAGAGAATAACGTAGAAATACGTCAAAAAAAAACTTAAGACATTGCATTAAATGATATTTTAAGCACTGTTTTGTTGAAACAAACTACAATGGTCTTGTTCTTATATAATGTTATACTATACTAATAATGTTGGGCCAGCATAGTGTTTTAAATTGTTGGACTTAGACCAGACATCCCCAACCTTTTGGGCACCAGGGACTGGTTCCGTGGAGAAAGGTTTTTCTGTGGACCAGTGGTTTTGTGTGCTTTTGTGTACTACCTGCATTCCACGGATGGGGCTTTGCTTGTTTGTGTGGACCGGTTGCTGGCATGCCATGGCCCAGTACCGGTCCACGGACCAGGGGTTGGGGACCCCTGACTTAGACTAAGGAGATTTCAGTTCAAGTCCCCATTTGATTAGAAAGCTGATTAGTTGACTTGAAAGAGCATTGGGGCAAACCCCATGTACACAACCTTAAAAATCTTAGAAGAAAGTCAAAATATAAATGCAATAGACATAATAAATCTGGTTCTAATAAACTTTTCTGAGTAGAATAACTAGCTATAATAATATATTTAGATGCATAGTCTTGTTCCTCTAAACTATAACAGTTAGGAAAACAGATAATTTATATTGCCTCAGAGTTTCTTGGTAGTTAAATATTTTAGTTAGATATTTTAAAAAGCTTTGAAAGTTTTTGGCATATTCTTATTTTGCCAATTTCAGATTGGCTGAATCTTTAGTATCAGTAAGGCTGTGTTCTGAGATTAGAGAAACCAGGTGATTTTTGATGTCATTAAATGTTAAGACTAATAATGGACTTGATGTTTACACTAATATCAATTTATCTTTTTAAAGGTGGAATTTCTTTCCTTTTACCTTTTTAATAGGAATTAAATACAATACAATAACTGTAAGAATTTTTTTCAACCTGTCTGACCACAAGATGGTACTATTGCTTCATGCTAAACACCAGTGATTTTGAAAAGAAATCACATAATTAAGAATATAGTACAATTGAATGCCTACCAAAAAAAAAAGGGGGGGGGGGTTAGTTGATGGTATGAAAAACCATTGAGAAGTCTAACAAGATCTGAAAGGTCACAGCAAACATCAGCCACCAAAGCAGCCAATTTCATAGGTCCTGGCCTGAATCCAAAGGAAGAAGTCCAAATGATCTGTTTCCTCCAGGGGAGTCTGCTCCACTTTTTCAATAACCTACATTAAAAATAATAGGAAAGGTTGGACGTGGGACAATAATGTTTAAAACAAAGCTTTTTGAGAAGTTGACCACTCTGAGTTTACTCTGTTGTTTTTGCATTATTAGGCTTTCCACTGCAAATAAAGAGTAACTTGATTCTGGTGAATACAAATAGTAACCCATTGTTTATAGGAGTGCAGCTGTTAAAATTACTGAATGAAGGATTTAGAATTTATGTAAAAATACAAAGGAATGAACATAAAAGAATATTATTTTTGTGTCTTTTGCTTAGTGAAATGTGGCACATTTCTTGTAGATAAAATAGCATGTGACTTTACGGATCTGACAGAGCAGACCCATGGCCTTACACCCTATTCCCAGGTAATTGGTTGTTTCATAAAATCTAAACTGCCTGTATATCTATATTTTACGCCATCCTCATTCCTGGTGAAAGACACTGTATTTTACCCTGTACAGTGACTCCAAATCATGCTTTGCTCAAGATTAAATTACATCCTAATTTTGCTTCTGGGTCTGATTCTTCTGTATTGTCACATGTCTATAGCCTGTTTCTCTGAACATATTTCTTTTGAACATTTTTTCTATTACACAAATCAAATGCTTTATACTGTATGAAAACCTCATGTAAAGTTTTGGTATAAATTGTACTTATTGTTTATTTAATATTTCTCACATGCTACAATATAGAAGCAATATTTTTAAATCACTTGTAATGGTCAGTGTTGATCTGGAATTAAACTCTCCTTGGCTATTCATGCTTTTCTTATAGGACATCGGAGCTGGAAAAGGCAAATACTATGCAGTTAACTTTCCAATGAGAGATGGAATAGATGATGAGTCATATGGACAAATATTTAAACCAGTGAGTACATTCAAAGCACTTTTTAAAATAGGTGTTGTAGCATTGAATAAAAGGTTTACCATCATTCCTGCTTTTTTATAGATTATATCTAAAGTGATGGAAATGTACCAACCTAGTGCAGTAGTATTGCAATGTGGGGCAGATTCACTCTCTGGCGATCGACTGGGATGTTTTAATCTTACAGTTAAAGGTAAGAGAACAAAGCATTATAGAAGCATCACAGCTGCATATTCTTGAAAACATTAGAAATTTTTGGTGGAAGTGTTTTATGAGCTTTAATTTGCTGAAGAATTCAGCATTATGACTTACAAAGGATTTCCAGTTCTAAACAATCCCACTTTCCTTTCATTTTAGCTGTATTTTGTAATGGTTATGTAGCAGTATATGTATAACCATTGAGTTTTGGTGGGATAATTTCAAAGTATTCATTCATGTTGAAGTAAAAATAGTAATTAAATAACCTATGGTTAAATTGTAATGTGTTGTATATGAATTAATGGGTCCTCTAAGAAAATTTGTATCACCCTCTAAAACTTCAAATGCCTATTATTGACATTTGTTCATGTATATAGTTTCTTGTACACAGCATGCACTTAAAGGGATAATTTTAAAAAGCTGTTCCATTTTAGCATTTTCAAATATAATACACTGATGTACGTCTTGCTTGTCAAATGGCATGTGAAGAAACAAATATATATAAACATGCAGAAGAATCTAAAACCATCATCTTTAACTAGGCAAAATGGGGCATCATAGGGCAACAGTTTTTGAATCACGTTATTTCAAATGGGCTAATTTATAGAATGCATATGAAATCTAGGACACATGACTACAAGGGGAATGAAATTTAGGGAAGTTGTGACTGCTGCAGTCATGTGCACAATATTCTGTGACACTTACCTGCCTACTGGCCTTAGACTTGCAGTTTTTCTGACTTCCCCACTGTGGTTTTTCTGCAGCCTTCCCACAAGCAAAATAAGCTGTCAGGAATTCTGGGAAAGTGAAGGAGGAAGGAAAGAAGGTTCCTAATGTTTTCTGCCAACTTCCCACAAGGAAACTCAATGGGGAACTTGGATAGAAATCATTTCCACGCTCACTGCTGTTTTGCCCACCCATGGTCATTCTGTTTCTCTGTTTAGTTAAGGAAATGTCTCTAAAACGATTATCCAACAGGGCACAGTTTGTTTAATACACTACTAAGACTTTTGTGTCTATTTGATTGTTTATAAACTTTAATTGAGTAAAACAGTGCATGATAGGGCAACAGATTTTGAATCAATGGGCTAACTTAGAGAATGTGTCTAAAATCCATGGCCCTCAAGAGACTGAAATTTGGCAAAGTTGTGGCCACTTTACTACTGCTGTGTTGCTGCACTGCCTGTAGTCACATTTCTAACACTCCCTACCAGCTTCCAAAAAGGAAAGTCTGTTGGGAAACAACAGAAAGATGGACATTGGGCCTGCTCCCATTGCTTTTTTGCCATCTGTGGGCATTCTGTTTTTTTGTTTTTGTTTTTAAGGAAAGGAAATATCTCATACAATGACCCAAATATTCCTGGGTTGTCTAGCAGGCTTTCCTTAAATGTAGCATTATGTTAATCTAAAGTTGCTGATGTTTAACAAGTTTTCCATTAATGGAATGTATTTCTTACAGAATCATTCATTAGACTTAATTGGGGGCAGTTCTGTGCTTTTTAAAAAAAATCTGGAAAAATTTACATACAGGTAGCTCAGTGCATTGATGCAAAATATCTTAAAACATTTTGGTTAACCATAATAGTATTGCTCAAGTTAATTTTGGATTATCTTCTTTAAGACCAATAACTTGTCTGTATTTTAAAACTGAAGTGATATATGCTTCACCCCACTTTATTTTTCTGTCATTTCAGATATGCTATGTTTAGTTATGAGTTTCCAATATAGAAAACCCTTAATTGGTAATCTTCATATTAAATATGTGTGCCTTTTATAACTGCATATTTTCTTTTTAAATGTCCGTAACTTCTGGCAGGTCATGCCAAATGTGTGGAAGTTGTAAAGACTTTCAATTTGCCTCTTTTGATGCTTGGAGGAGGTGGATACACCATACGCAATGTTGCTCGATGTTGGACTTATGAGACTGCTGTTGCCTTAGACTGCGAAATTCCTAATGGTAAATATTATACTAAAAAGTGCAGATTGCCTAATCTAAATTATAATTACTATAAGTCACTTAGACTTTTCTCTGTCTTAACAAAATCCTGATTTCAGCAAGAATTTTGTACATTTCTGTATACAAACATTGTGATTTTAAGT